CCTGATCTGGATCTTGCCGAAGTTGGCCGTTGCCATCAGTTCATGGCACAGTCCACCATTTTTACCTGATAATAAAGAGGAAACAGTTGCCATTTTCTGAGTTGATGGGCCAATATGCAATAGTTCTAAGAATCCATCTCATTTGTCTTCTCCTGCCAGTAGTTTTATGACTCAGAGGTATCCCTCTACACACAAATTCAAATCACTTGTTTTACTAAGAAGATTTTTAGGTGGCACAGTGCTTCTGTGCTACTGTTGATAGCTAGAGGTCTTGTGAACTCAATACAGGCAGAACTCTGAGCTTGGAAGGCAGAATTCTTTATATTCAGAAGACAACTTGGTCAAGCCCTATTAGAGGAAAATGCTTCACTGTGACATTTTTAGTATGTCTTAACCATGTTAAGTTTCTACTTTACTTCACATCTTGCTCATATGTGAATGGAAACAAAACTGGGCTGGGAGTCAGTAAACCTGAGTTCTTGACCCAGATCTACTGCCTTGGGCAAGTCATTACCCTCTCAGTGCTTAGTTTCATCATATGAAAAAACAAGGCTTGTCTAGCTCTAACATGCCATGGTTCTAGTTCTATCTTTATCTTCAAATTAAAAGCATCAATCATTTTCTCTTTGACCTTTGTTGTGTTGTGCGGGTAACAGACCCCAAATGGGTATTTCTATAGGGAAGTTTTATCTGAGGCTAAGACAAAAAACCATCACAAAAGATAAAGGCAGGCAAATGCAGTTGTCTCATCAGGTCTTTGTAATTTCTGTCCAAGACTTTCCTCTACTTAAATGTGGATTAATTATTGTCTGGTGTTCCCATGGTACCTGGAAATATTATCTGACACTTTACAGAGCAACCAAATAAAGTGGTAAGAGACCAGTAAATGAAGATTTCTTTTAATCAAAAACAAAGACAGAATGGGAGGAGCTGCCTTCCCCCATTAGATGTTTGTATCTAGGTTTTTACGTTGTCCTGATTTGTGTGCAAAATACATCTCTGTAGTAACCCTTTTCCCACACACTGGAAAGCCATTCACAGCTACCACCTAAATGAAAATCTAATAAAGGTTTGAGGCAAGAGGAATGAAAGTATTATAGAAAATACCATGTAGGGGCGCCTCAGTGGCCCAGTCAGTTAAGTGGCCGACTTCGGCTCAGGTCATGATCTCGCGGTCCGTGAGTTCGAGCCCCGCGTCAGGCTCTGTGCTGACAGCTCGGAGCCTGGAGCCTGTTTCAGATTCTGTGTCTCCCTCTCTCTCTCTGACCCTCCCCCATTCATGCTCTGTCTCTCTCTGTCTCAAAAATAAATAAACATAAAAAAAATTTTTTTTAAGAAAATACCATGTATTACATGCTTAGCCTAAAGTTATCTTCAAGCAACTGTACATCATAAAGATTTTCTAATCTGAATTCTACAGTTTACCAATCAGGAAACCAGGGCTCAGAGAACTTTATTGGCTCATTTAAAGGCCAGAACCAAGAACTGGGTCAATAACAGAATCTCCAAGCAGCCCATGATTCAAGAATAAGAGACATTGACTTCCAAACAGTTTTCCCATGGTCCATTTAATATCAGCTGACCCTTTTTTAGCAGTTCAGCCAAGGCCCTGCTTTGTTTATGTAACTGTTGGTTAGATTTTGGCTCATCTAACAAATCCACTACTGATAATTGCATGTGACATGGCTTTATGGTGAGTGAAAATTGTATTAACTTAGGAGTATCACCAAGCCTTTGTCTTCAGAGATATTTCATGAAAATAATTCTGGTGTAAACCAAGTAGTATCAGTTCTTTCCATCCGTCAGACTTAAAGATATTTAATATTTTAAATTTGCCATAGCTGACTGGTTTTACCAGATAAGTCTCCTTCTAAAATCCAGACTGTCCTCTACAATCCAAAGATGTTTATGCCAAGCAACAAGTAATAGGATGCAAGTCCACAATGGGGAAATGCTAGCTCCTTATGATTATTTTTGGTTTGTCTTTTGGTCACTAAACTATTGTTTATCTTGCACAGTATTTCTCCACATGTTATGTGGTGACAATTAGGATGTGCCTTAACCTCATCTGCAACACATTTAATGGATACATCTTGTATTTAAAAAGTTATTCCATGTGTTCCAGTCCTAAATTTTGTCATTCTACACGTGAGGTTGTACAAATCATTCCATTTCTACTCCTCAGACTTATCTGTGGCTGTTGTTCAACTCTTGCTGAAGTATGACATAAATACAGAAAGGAATGGAAATTATAAATACATATTTTGATGCAGTTTCACAAAGTAAACAAGTCCAGGTAACCAGCATCGAGAAACAAATGTTGCTGAGCCTCTGAAAACCCTGCTCCCAGCCCCTTCCAGTCCTTACCATGACCTCCACTGCATGAAGGAAAACCATCATCTTGACTTCTAACTCTGTAGATTCTACTTGCTTATTTTTGAACTTACAGAAGTAGAATGTTACAGTATGTATTCTTTAGTGTCTGGCTTATTTTACTTGGGTTTATTTTTGTGAGATCAATGCACAATGCTACCTGTAGCTGTGGCTCATTCATCCTCATTCTGTATAGTATTCAGTTTGGGGAACATACCTTATCCATCCCGTTGTTAGCCATATGGATGGTTTCCAGGTGCTGCTGTGAACATAATTCTGTATAGCTTTTGGTGAGCTTAAGGCCACAGTTGTTTGGTATATACTTAAGAGTGGAACTGAGGAGGGGCACCTAGGTGGCTCATTCAGTTGAGCGTCCATCTTCGGCTCAGGTGATGATCTCGCGGTTCGTGGGTTCGGGCCCCGCGTCGGGCTCTGTGCTGACAGCTCAGAGCCCGGAGCCTGCTTCAGGTTCTGTGTCTGCTTCAGATTCTGTGTCTCCCTCTCTCTGCCCCTCCCATGCTCATGCTCTGTCTCTCTCTGTCTCAAAAATAAATAAACATTAAAAAAAAAAAAAAGAGTGGAACTGAGGAGTCCTATGTCCAGCCTTAGTAGACACTGCCACATAGTTGTCCAGAGTGTTCCACTCTTCACAGCAGTGAAGGAGAGTTCAGTTCTTCAGCATTCTTGCTGATGCTTGGCACTGTCCTTTCATGTTAGCCGTTGTGGTACATGCGTCCAGTAGTAACATCCATAGTTTGATCCTTAGACTTTCTTGTGTAAAATGATGTCTGTATTCCCTTTCTTTTTTGACAATCATCTGTGAGATAAAAATTTTAAAACTCCTTTTGATATGGTAACAAGAAATAGGAAAATTCCATTTGACTCTTAACATTGTGACATTAGGAAGACAAATAGAAAAGATTATTTAGTGCTCTGAATAGAAAATAAGTCCACAAGATGTTTTTGCATAATGGCAGGATCCTATCCTGACACATGAAGTTTGTCCAAAGTCTACTTATTGTTGACCACTTTGAGAAAGGCAAAAATAAAAGGTTACAAAGGAGTGACCCATTCATGCATAATCCACAGTTGTCTTCAGAGCTGGAGGCCCAAAAGGCCCATTAGAGAAATGGTCACAGCTAATGCTATTTGCCCTTCCTTACCTCTGTAACTCATTCCTTATGTGTGCACCGAAATAAAGCACAGAAGACAAATAGCAGACTCAAAACAAAGATACTTAATCCCTTTGGCCATTTCAGTAAACAAGTGAACTGCATACATACCTATACATTTTGCATACATATTTATGTTTTAAATGTTCACTCATTTTGCAGATATTCATGTAATATTTCCGTTATGTCAGGCACTGACATAGTTTCTAGGGATACAAAACACAAACACCTGCTCTCAAGGGCCTTACAGTCTTAAAAAGGAGACAGATGTGCCAACACATAGTTACTATAGGGTATAAAATGTGTCATCCACAGATCTGCTCTAACAAAATACCATAGACAGTGCCTTATAAACAACAAAAGTTCATTTCTCACAGTTGTAGAGGCTGGGAAGTCCAAGATCAAGGCACTGTTAGATTCAGTGTCTGGTGAGGGCTCTTTTCCTGGTTCACCAACAGCCATTCTCTTACTGTCCTCACTTAGAAGACGGGGCAAGGGAGCTCTCTTTTTTAAGGGCACTAATCCCATTCATGGTTCCACCCTTACCTAATCACCTCCAAATGTCCCAACTGCTTAATGCCATTACATGGGGGATTATGTTTCAGTAAAGGAGGTTGGCAGAGACATGCACATTCAGTCTATAGCACAGCATGTGTGAAGTTACAAAGTATACACAGGGTGCAGTAGGTGACACACAGGTGAGTGAGCAGGTGTCCCAGAATGGGGGATGTTGGAAGATGCTGCACGGGGGAGGTGGCTCTTGATCTGGAACCTGCCAAACCAAGAAGCAGGGAGGCAGCCTTTGCAGGGCATACAGGACCAGGCGGAGAGGTAGGAGACAGCCTAGTTTATCTCTGAAGCTTGAGGTGTGACAGAAGAAGAGAAGCAGCAAATGATGAAAGGCTTCTAGTACCAAACCCCAGGGAGTTGGGTGTCATCCGCCGCCGCCCCCCCCCCCCCCGCCACTGCCTGAAGGGGCTGTTCTTTAAACATTTGTGAGCACCCTGCCAGATTTTAGGGCTATGGGGAGGAGTCAATCCATGCAGTCTTGCAGCAGATATTCCTTGAATACCTACTGTTCGCCAGAACCTTGTCCTTAAAAACAACTTCATGGGGAGAGAAACATGTAAAAAAAAAAAAAAAAAATGGATTACAGAGCCGCACCGTAACTATTATAGAAATACTGCTTTCTTCTTCCCTGAACCTGAATCACCTGGGAATTCTGGTCATAGCTTTGATTGAGGAAAAGCAGTGCTGCTGATTTCCAAAGGTCTGCAACTAAAGTCGATATTTTAAACATTCACTGGCTGAAAAATATTATCAGTTTAAGTACATTTTGCAAGAATGGCGAGAGCGGAGTTGAATCATCTGTATTTCCCCCAGGCCCTGAGCTTGAGCTGCTGACAGCCTGACCACCAGAGGCAGGCTTCTCAGCTGCGTCCCTCTTGCTTTCAGGTAACCAAGAACGAACGTCAGGTCATGAAGCCGCTGTATGACAGATACCGGCTGGTCAAACAGATCCTGTCCAGAGCCAACACCATACCCATCATTGTGAGTACGGCGCCTTTCTGTGGTTGATTGCCTGCTGGAATGGGCCCTGGCTATATTAAGAGAGCCCTAACCTGCCTTCTCATTAAAGAGTAGTCTTTCGGGGCGCCTGGGTGGCGCAGTCGGTTAAGCGTCCGACTTCAGCCAGGTCACGATCTCGCGGTCCGTGAGTTCGAGCCCCGCGTCAGGCTCTGGGCTGATGGCTCGGAGCCTGGAGCCTGTTTCCGATTCTGTGTCTCCCTCTCTCTCTGCCCCTCCCCCGTTCATGCTCTCTCTCTGTCCCAAAAATAAATAAAAACGTTGAAAAAAAATGAAAAAAAAAAGAGTAGTCTTTCATAGTTAAAACCTGTCATTAATATTTATGGTTCATAAGCTTGAGGAGTGAAGGATTTATCAGAGACTACTGAGGCTATATTTGCCAAAAATGACCAAATGTGAAGCTGATAGAGTTTTGTTTTCTTTTGGGCGGCATGCTTTGACGTATACATCGATCTGACTCATGCTGGGTGGACCGCCTACCCCTTTCCTCAGAGACAGAGTGCCAGCAGGACAGGCCTGTGGTTTCTCTAGGCCTCTGCAGTCCACAGACCTCTCTGTCCCAAGGGCCCACTGTTAATAATCATCTCTCTCCCTCCAAGCGAGAGATAGCCCCCTTGGGAATCCTATCCAGGGAGAAATCCTCTAAGGAACTCAAGAGAGCCTCCTTTTTTTGGAGGCTGCAGACAAGCGTGAGGTAGAAGAAAAGGGAAGGAGACCACCATCCTCTGACTTATGCATAACGGCTTTTGGCCAAAGAAGGGACGGGAAACTTGCTGTCAGCTCTGGAAAGGCCTGTCAGGGGCTAGCCAGCTAGCCCTCCTCCCATATTCCAGTCTTGGCTTTTCCACCCAGCTTATGCGTGAGCGTTAATGCCCTGTCCTTCTCTTGGGGAATCACTTGCCTCTGTCCCAGTGCACTCCTCTCCAGGAATATTAGGGGCTTCCCCTGATGGCTTTCAAACATTTCAATCAGCAGACATGGCCTTGCTTTTATGTTGTTATTAAAATGCATGCTTACATTAGCTGCCTCTCTTCCATTCCTGCTTTAAACCTCTTTGTTTAGGGGCACCTGGGTGGCTCAGTCTGTTCAGCATCTCATTCTTGATTCCATCTCGGGTCATGATCCCGGAGTTGTGGGATTGAGCCCCGCATTGGACTCCACCCTGAGTATGAAGCCTGCTTGGGATTCTCTCTCTCTCTCTTTCTCTCTCTCTCCCTCCCTCCCTCTCTCTCTCCCTCTCTCCCTCCCCCCTCCCCCTCTCCCCCATTCATGCAGCCCCTCTCTCTCTAAAATAAATTTTTTACAAAAGTAAATCTCCTTGTTTTTTTCTTTCTTTTTTTTTCAATATTTTATTTTTAAGTAATCTCTGCACCCAACATAGAACTCAAACTCACAACCCTGAGATCAAGAGCCGCACACTCTGCCGACTGAGCCAGGCACCTTCCCTGTTTATTTCTTTTAAAAAAATTTTTTTAATGTTCGTTATTTTTGAGAGAGAACCCATGAGTGGAGAAGGGGCAGAGAGAGAGGCGACACAGAATCTAAAGCAGCCTGAAGGAGGCTCCAGGCTCTGAGCTGTCAGCACAGAACCTGACATGCGGCTTGAACTCGTGAACCTCAAGATCATGACCTGAGCCGAAGTCAGACGCTTAACCAACTGAGCTGCCCAGGCAGCCCCTACTGTCTCAGCCACCCAGGCGCCCCACCCTCCTTGTTTATTTCTAAGCCTGAGATATGATCTTTGTATTTCTTCTGACAGTGTACTTGTTCATAGGAATGAGGTTCCAGAGACTTTAGGCACGTACATTAGAAGAAAGCTACTTTTCGGGGCGCCTGGGTGGCGCAGTCAGTTAAGCGTCCGACTTCAGCCAGGTCACGATCTCGCGGTCCGTGAGTTCGAGCCCCGCGTCAGGCTCTGGGTTGATGGCTCAGAGCCTAGAGCCTGTTTCCGATTCTGTGTCTCCCTCTCTCTCTGCCCCTCCCCCGTTCATGCTCTGTCTCTCTCTGTCCCAAAAATAAATAAACATTGAAAAAAAAAATTAAAAAAAAAAAAAAGAAGAAAGCTACTTTTCTAGGAATTTTTTGTGGAATAAATTAGTAAACTAACCAGTGAAAGGATTAAGTCTAAGGAGTTCTTTCATTCTCCAGTTAGGAGCCCTTAGTGCCCCTAAGTAAGTGTCCCTAAATAAGGTGAGTGTACAACAGGGAAGTCACACAACCTTTGAATCACCTGAGGGGCCTATGTTGTTCTACTTGAAGCTTGTAACAGTTCTAGGGTTCCTGTACCTATTGTGATCAGGCAGCAGAGAGAGTGAGGAGCACACATTCCTCCTCAGGTTTGTTCTGCGTTCAGTTCACATACTCACATGCTATTCTTGCTCTAACGTGGCCTCCTTGGTTTGGGTTGTGGGCTCTGGAGCGAAGCACCAACTTGGACGAGAACTTTGGTTGTTTCTGGTTTTCCTGGGAATTTTTGGTGCGGAGGGTTTAGAGTATATAATTCGAAGGCAGTAATAAACCCTAGTGATTCAGAGGAAGCAGAGGCCTGGCGGGAAAGGGAGAGGGGTTCACAGTGTAACCAACTGTCACTGCCTGTCGCAGGGATCCCCCTCCAGCAAGCGGAGAAGCCCTTTGCTGCAGCCAATTATTGAGGGCGAAACTGCTTCCTTCTTCAAGGAGATAAAGGTGAGGACCTCCCGCTGCTCACCTCGTGCTGAATCCTTATCACTTTCCTGGCCTCCCTTCCTCTTGTGGACGCAGTGAGGTCATGCTTGGGCCCTCGGTGGTGGCTTCCTGTAGTGTGCCCTCAAAATCAGTAGTGCCCGGAACCACCTGTGATCTCTTACGGATACTGTGGTCGAGCTGATTTCCTTTATTGCATCTCATTCCCCTGCTTGTTTTGGTGTCTTATTTGTTGTTTGTTTTGTTTTTATTTTGCTTTTCGGGGATTTGGGGGGGGGCCCCCCCTTCACAATATTTTTTAGTTTTGTTTTTCCTCTCTTTGGAATGGATTTTATGTATTCCAGAATCCTTTTTAATTAACTCATTGGGTAACTTCCACAGAAATCTTATTTACTGAGTTACTAGAAAACCCAAAATCAACTGGGGCAATACATATAGCATGCAACAAAATCTATCATTTTATAGACCGATATCTTCCTTGTCTTTGACAGCTTGCTGGCACACTTTCACCCACTCTTCCTTCTTTTTTACTTTCCCCAAACACATTTAGTCCTCGGGGCTGATTGTATAATCTGCTCTTGATCTGGGAATATAGTACAATTGCCAGCAGTCATTGGAGTATATGCTCTGTTTTCTGCCCCCATAGTAATTATGGAGTTTATGCAGGTAATCCTTGTCTTCAGCGGCCGCTTTTGCTGGAGAAGGAGTACACTCTGTGCTCGCGGGTCTGTACATCTCTGTAGGGACCCAACTGGCCTGGACCAGGATCAGCCTCTTTCCTGGTTTTGTTTCCAGATAACTGGAACTGAACTGCCTTCTACAGGGCTCTAGAGATGAAAAGTCAGATTCAGTTTTGTTTTTGTTTTTGTTTTTGTTTTTTTAAATCAGTGATTGTATTTTAGCAATTGTTTAAGTTGGAAAGGAATGTCAAACCCAAAGCAGAAGTGAGTTTCAGGAGTTTCACTTGTCATATTTCTGTGAAAGTGGCAGGCCTGAGGTGGTCATTTATTTACTGTAGTCAGGAAAGGTTATTACAGAATATGAGGGCCTCGTTCCCATGAGGGGCACCAGTTGAGAACTGCTCCATTGTCTTACCATGTCCTCATCATTATGATGGAAGGAAGGTACCAGAAGTTACACCATCTTCTCTCTTATTTATTCTATTCCTTTTCTTACTTCTTGGGGGCCTTAATTAAATACTTCATGGACCTAATTTGAAGGTATTAGGCAATGATTGTGCTCACTATTCATATTATTTTAAATAGACCTTGTTTTATGAAAATGCTCTAAACATAAAATTTAGGCAAATATGCTATATTATATTTTAAAAATTGGAGCTATTTTCTTACAATAAGATTTGATGTTGATGAAAGAAGACAAATTTTGTCTGGTAATTTCACACAAGAATGAAATCACCATCACTGAAGAAATTTGGGCAGTTGTGTGTATGAAAACTAGAAATTCTCTTAGAAGCACACCACAGAACTGTTACTAGATAAAAATGTGTTCTTTAATACATCCAAAATATGACAGTTAATAATTGCCTCACTAAATGAATGGAAGATATATCAATGATGACGGTCTCCCAAATCTTCTTGTTTGGCTTAGTTTATCTTTTTCACAAGCATAATTTGGCCATGGCTCTTCTCCTGGCCCATGTGGTGGTCAGAATTTCAGATAATTTTGCAATGCTTACATTGCTTTTGTAAATAGTGTTGTCTTTCAGTTCATTTTGTTCCAACTGGCCCAAATTATTAGCATGTGTTTGGATTGTACTAATTCTTGACAATTCTGACATAATTTAGAATTTGAGATGGGTGCAGATCAGAAGATTGTATCGACGTGGTTTCCTTAAAAACCACCCCTGGTTTTAAATGGTAGGAAACCAGCTGTGTATGACAAAGAGCCAGCTCAAGTTCTGGAGCCCAACATCTTCTAGCCCAAAAATCCTAGAGATAGTCTAGTCAGTTCTCCTTCCCAACATAAGAATTTCATTTAAAATTTATCTGACAGAATAGAGACACTATCTCTAAGAAGTGATTCCATCCTGAATCTTGAAAAGTTTACAACAATGGAGAAGTAAGGTCACTCATTCCATGGGCTAAGCTCCAATATTAGCTAAAAAGTGATTTTATAGTGTTAGTTTTATAATTATTATTGAAATACTAAAAAATAATAATTATATAATGTGAAATTTCAGAATATAATAACTTTGATAACTATAAAAATGACTTAAAATTATAATATTCTTAGTTATTATTAATGTATGACTTTCTACTTAATAGGCTTAGTGTTGCCTTCTGGAACAATATGGAATGAGCATAACTGCTTCTTCCTTGAGAGCCCTTCATGTCTTTACTGTCACCTCCCCTGTCTGCTCTCACCCACAGCCTGTGGAAGTTTTTTCTCCAAGTTCTTCTTCTTGTTCCTCATGTGATATGGGTCACCTCCCAGCCACCCACCGGTTCTGCTGTATACACACATACCAGTTTACCTAGAGCCCTCGGACTTACTGATACCCAGAACTGAACATTATTTTAGATATGATTTAGCCAGCAAGACAGTGGAGCAAGGACTGATCCTGATCTTTATCTGGACGGCCAGGGCCGTTCGTCCTACAACTCTATGCCTACATGACCGTCAATGTATTGTGAATTCGCTGTACTCTTTCTGGGGCACGTGCATTCAGCTTCCACACTGCAGACTTTTGGGGCCAGATAGCTTGTTGTCGTTGGGGGCTGGCCTCCATCCACCAGATGCCAGTCGTGCACTACTTCCACCCCCTTCCCAAAATGTCTCCAGACCTTGCCAAAGGTCCACTAGGGTCAAAATGACCCCCAGTTGAGAACCACTGCCTACGGCCCTATCTCACTGCTGATTTATGCAGTCCCAAGCTTGCTTTTCCTTGGATTGCTTGTCATTTACGTGTCCATCTTTTATTTTCTAACCTAAATTGTACCACCTTGAATTTTTTCAATTAGTTACTTATCACACTTCTATATACCAGGCTTGTGAAACTGATTAAATCTAGACATTTTATTCCAACATATCAGCTATCCCTCCCTACTTTGTATTCTCTGTGCATTCTGTGAATATGCCTTTTGCGTCTTTATCCAAGTGATTGATAAATACTGAGTAAGGCTGGGTCCGGCAAAGGACCTGTTATAGACTTCCCTCCAGATTCATGCCACCCTGCATCATCACCCTGCATCAATTTTCACAATCAGCTCTCCTTTCGTGGATCAGCTCACCTCATTAATTATTGAAATCCAAATATTATGCCAGTCCTGTCAATAAAGGAAAAATGGTTTTCCTAAAGGGGTCACTGTTGATCATGGATTCTTTTTCAGTCATTCAGATGTTATCTAGTATTGATAACTTCTAGAATCTACCCAATGTGCACAAGGACCCTATGGTCTTACAATTTTAAGATCTAGGTTTATCATTTCTTTTTTTTTTTCCCTATGATTTTCACAGCTTTACTGAGAATAGATCTATTCAGCTTCCTCTTTAAATGCTTTGAGTGCCCACTGTGTGCAAGACACGTTCTTACCTTTTTAAGTTCTCTTAGGGCCTTGGGATGTAATTGATTAGGCCAAAACACCTGACTTTTATTCCTTACCTTCCTTGGGCTACAAGGCTATACTCTCCTCCAGTAATTTGTATTTTTCTTTTAAAACTGAATTACTAGACTGTTTGACAGACATTAATTAAGCACCTATGATATGCAGGCATTGGCTAGGCTCTAGGAACAGCAGTGAACAGACAGGCCCAAATCCTCGCCTCAGTGGAGTTTTCTGTCCAGTAGTTCCACCTGGTCCTTCCTCATCCAGGAGAGCAGGGGATGGGGACAGGAGGTTGATCTGCACTGCCTCTGTGCCCCATGTAGCTTGCGAGGTCCATACGTTATCTCCATTAATTCTAAAAACTGCATAGGTGGGAATTGTTAACTTCCTTTCACAAAAAAAAGAGAAACTTTAAAATTATTAGTTTTAAAGTCACTTTGACACTATAAATTTAAAATCTTCTTTAATAATTTCAATTTTTAAAAATTAATAATGAGGCGTTTACTTCTAAGCAAAGAGATTGAAGATTTGACGTCACAGCAGAAGGGAATCTGAGAGAGCTACCTAGTTTTGACCAGTTTTATCTTCGTGCCTTCAGAGCAGTACTTTCATCATAGTTGTGCAATAGTCCTTTTTTTGTTTTTGTGTTTCCTGTTTATTTGTTTATTCACATTATTTCTCCTCAGAGGCAGTATTAGAAACATACCAAACTTTATGGTAAGGAAATCCACCCCTGGCAGTTTGCATACTTTGACCACCAATGTAACTACCCCCACCTCCTGTGATTAATTTGCTGGATTGCACTGAAGTCACCTGGTTCAACTCGAACCGCCGATGTTGTACTTGCTGTTGTTCACGTATCTGTGCTCTTAACCACTTCTTAAATTTTTCAGATCTTAGGATATCCTCTTCTGGTCTGACTGTACGTTTTGGCAGTAAATTACTTCTTTTAAAATCTTTCACTTAGACTGATATCATTTCATCCTTAGATTTACATAGCTTTAAATTGGCACTAAGAAGCTGTGATTTGACTTCATTGTTTTTCTAATTGCATTGCCAAGACAGAGAATATCATGCTTTTCTGAGAATCTTGGATGCTAAAAAATACAGCCGCGTCCCTTGGAAGCTCCTTGAAAAAAATACTTGAGTTTATGACCCCAATGATGAGAACATAAATGGTTTGATCTTTTCAAAACTTTCTTAAAATTGTGTGCATCAAGCAACCACAAAATATGTTTTAATCTCAACTTTTTTTTTTTTTCAACGTTTATTTATTTTTGGGACAGAGAGAGACTAAGCATGAACGGGGGAGGGGCAGAGAGAGAGGGAGACACAGAATCGGAAACAGGCTCCAGGCTCCGAGCCATCAGCCCAGAGCCTGACGCTGGGCTCGAACTCACGGACCGTGAGATCGTGACCTGGCTGAAGTCGGACACTTAACCGACTGCGCCACCCAGGCGCCCCTTAATCTCAACTCTTAAACAGAAAGGCTGTATTGTTTAATTTCTCAAGATGTTCATAGCTTAATAAAAAACACATTTTCTGAGGTCCACAACTAAAGGAATCCTTAATGCACTGACTGCTGGTGGTGGATTTTGTTATGTGTTATCACAGAGCTGGGGATTTTTAGATTTTTTTTTAACTGCAGTTGATTTGCGGTATAAATTACAATGGTGGTTCCTTCATATCCTCAGTCTTGACAAATGTTAATTGTGCCGTACACTAGTTTTTATAGTTTTATAGTTTTTCCCCCTACTGAGTGGCTGTGTTTAGTGTTTGTGTTATTTATTGTGTTCATATAGATGCTCAGTTATATATTGATAATGTACATATGTGTTGCTAAATGTAGATACAGAAGAAACTATATGCTGTCTGGATAATTAAATGGTCGTTACACGATACTTACAATGAAAGAGTGCCAGGAAAAGTAACCAGATTTTTATTGGGGTTGTTTTACATCTCCAGGAAGAAGATGAGGGCTCAGAAGATGACAGCAACACAAAGCCGGACTTCACAGTCACTCTGAAAACCGATTTCAGTGCACGTTGCTTCCTGGACCAATTTGAAGATGATGCTGATGGGTTTATTTCCCCAATGGATGATAAATTACCATCAAAATGCAGCCAAGACACCGGGCTTTCAAACCTCCATGCTGCTTCAATGTACGTATGTCATTTTGATGGTGGTGTTGAAATGTGTTGATGAGAATACCGTTTTTAAATATTTTAGCCTTTGTATTTAACGTTTATTTATTTTTGGGATAGAGAGAGACAAAGCATGAACGGGGGAGGGGCAGAGAGAGAGGGAGACACAGAATCGGAAACAGGCTCCAGGCTCTGAGCCATCAGCCCAGAGCCTGACGCGGGGCTCGAACTCACGGACCGCGAGATCGTGACCTGGCTGAAGTCGGACGCTTAACCGACTGCGCCACCCAGGCGCCCCTAGCCTTTGTATTTAAATAAGTTGCCCTGGGGTACATCTGTGTAAATAGAATGGTGAGTTTTTTTCTTTTACTTCCAGCTCAGCATTTGTATTATTCTCCATTGCATGTTATTTGAGGCAGCATGCAAGATCTTACTTCAACAATCGGGGCTCTAGAATGGCACTCTGTGGTTCTGTGTTTTTCAACTCATCATTTAACATGTACCAAGCACAGATCTTTCTTTCAAAACAAAATGTGATAAAGTGCCATGGGCATTGACAAAACAAAAGTGATAAAGTGATAAGACCTCATAAGTAGCGGGAGCTTTGCGGGAGTCCGGGGAGCTCTATCTGGTTCAGGGGATAGGAAACCGCCATTTCTGCTGACCCTCAGCTCCCTTAACAGATTTTGCATTTCCATGCTTCCCCCCACTTCTCCACAACCCCTGTCAAATTGCACATTCATTATATCTATAACAATTCCAATTTAACCCAATTTTCTTGAAATTTTTCTGTCTCTCTCAGACCGGAACTCTTAGAACATCTTCAGGAAATGAGAGAACAAAAGAAAAGGATTCGAAAGAAACTTCGTGATTTTGAAGACAATTTTTTCAGACAAAATGGAAGGTAGTGCATGCTTCCTTTCCCCTCGCTTCTCCCCCTCCACACACACACCCCTCTTTTGCTCCTGTCAGATTTATGCAGTGCTCCAAAGGTGGGAAGCCCTCTGCCTCCTCTCTGTAACCTAGTCCCTTGGTTTGTGCCCAGGGCCCCTGGCAGTTTACGGTGAGATGGTGAGGTCTGTATGATCCTTCAGCAAGAAATGCTCCTTGAATAGTATCCAAGACTGATGTAAATTCAGCTAACATCTATAAAACCTGTCACATCAAATTCTAATCTAAAAAGAGCAGCTTGAAGCTAAGTTTCCAGTTGACAGCACTGGTTTTTGGTTTGGGTTTGGTTTTGTCTTCATAAACTAGAAGGAGAAATAAGGAAAGGGCAATTCTAAACCTTGATGTTTTTAGGCTTATTTTAAAAGCAAAGGTGATTGTTGTCAGGTTTGAATGAAAAATAGACAAGAAGCTGTAAGTCCATGAGACTGACAGTATGCCTTTCTCTGGTGAGTTTCAAGACATGTTATAATCAGCCTTGTAGAGTGTTATGCTAAGGAATAGCATCCCCTGTTTGCTAGTGACCACAGACAGCTCTTACTCAGGTCACAGCCTGAGACCGGGAAGGACAGGGAATGGATTTATTTGCCTCTCTTACATGGAAGTTCAGTTTTAACATTTTAAAATGATTTTATTTTCATCCAAATTATTTAAGCAATATAAATATAGTTTCCCTTTAAAAGGTCCCCTTCCATCCTTCTCAAAAGTGTTTGGAAGTAAAAGCACTGTAAACATCAACTTTGGCATTTAAAATGTATTCCAGGTCATTTCAGTTTATCATATAAATTTTGTATTTTTAGCGTCCCTGATTTGGATCTATGAATTTTTATACATAAATACTTGTTTTTCTTTCCCCATGCATTGTATGATATTTAGAAAACATAGACAAGCAGACAAAAGAAATAATATGCAAAATAATAACTGATGATAAACCAGAATTAATGTTTTTTCCATTCTTCTTTCTGAACATATTTTTGGTTTGTCTGTTTATCTTTTTTTCCATGTAATTATAGTCACTTTATGCAGATATCCTGTTGAGGAGCTATATAAAATTATGTAAACTTCACAGGTTTTAAGCAAGTATAGTTAATGGGAATTTATAATAATCATACAAGTTTTTATGTATGTATGTATGTATGTATGTAATTTCTACACCCAGTGTTGGGCTCAAACTCATGACCCTGAGACTGAGACCCCCATGCTCTTCCAACTGAGCCAGCCAGGTGCATTATCATACACGTTTAAAACTCTGACTTCAGATATCATTAAATCTGGTCCCATTATTTCATATCTGAGGACAGTGAAGCCCCTCAAAGAGCAGGGTGAAGTCAACTCTTAGATGGCTATTCCTTTCATTGCCTTCTGCTGAGAAGCCATCTAGAGCCCTTTTCTTGAACATGGCAGGGCATGAATCAATGAACTTTCAGTTCATTGAGCAAAATTATATAAGCCCCATGCTATCTACTTTCTTATATTTTTCTCTTTTTTTAATTTTTTTTTTTTTTGAGACAGTGCAAGAGGGGGGCGGAGAGCAGAGAGAGAGGGAAAAAGAGAATCCTAAGCAGGCTCCACACAGAGCCTTATGTGGTGCTCAAACTCACAAACCTTGAGATCATGACCTGAGCCGAAACCAAGAATCAGTCGCTCAACCGACTGAGCCACCCAGGCGTCCCTGTTTTTCTCTTTAAGAAGAAAAGGAAGCCTGGTATTTGAATGTTTGACATGTGCATTTCAAAGTGAAATTAGAAGCAGCTGGGCTGTATTGCTCAGTGGTTGAGAATGTAGACGGCAGCACTATTTCATCAAGCTCTGGTGAGGGTTATATTAGATCATGGACACAGGGTACTTAGCACAGTTCCTGGCCTACAATAAGCTCTCAGTTAGTACTTGCACATATAAAAGGTATGCATATAAGATTCCTAGTAAACTATAAAGCTTTATTAGTATTATGTGATCCAATTGCTGAATTCCAAGACTGATTTTATAATTAGGATATTAACTCTGTGTTTTTAAACCTGTAAATTATGGGTATCCCAGTTGGTAATTAGAAACTTAATAGTTCGTTAGATGAAACCTATAAAAGTGAAAAGACATTTAAGTATAAATAAAGGATTTCAGTCTACAGAGACTCTTGATGCAAATTCATACACCAACATCAGAGAGAAAACATTTCTCGGTTTTTAGTCCTTCATATCATTCTGCAAGATGCCAGATTAACTACAAAAACTCAGTTGCACGGTGCCTTCTGGGGGAAGCTGTCTTTCGCTGATTGTCTAAGCCCAGCATCAGTCTTGATTCCAAGTGACACTTGGGAACACCGATCCTACAGGTTGATAACTGCAGAGTTTCTACATGATGATAATTCGCCTGATAAGCAATATCATCTAAACGATCCTCAGCCCCCTTTCCTTTTGTTTCCGTTAGAAGTGTCCAGAAGGAAGACCGCACTCCTATGGCTGAAGAATACAATGAATATAAGCACATAAAGGCAAAATTAAGGCTCTTGGAGGTGCTCATCAGCAAGAGAGACACTGATTCCAAGTCCATGTAAGGGGCACAGCCCCAGCCGGCACTAAGGGGGCTGAAGGTGCAGGCTGGACTTGCTACCCGCCTCCCCTGGTAAATAGCATCTCTGCAAAACCCGGATGGCAGCGTGGGAGCTGGACCTCAGAGCACACGGCCCTACTGCCTCCGGGCCTTTGGGAGCAGCTCCAGCTTCCATCGCCTGTCTTAGAAGCTGTCTGCATGGGAGAGGGTAACTTGCTCCGACTTAAGACTTTTGCAAGGAACAGTCAAGATCCCACGGGTGCACGTGGATACTGCAGGGGAAGGTTTACTAACGTTGGCCGTGCTGAATCACTACGTTGAGACATGCTCATCTACAGAGAATATACACTATTTTTCCCTGGATAATTGAGAAACAGGAGACCATTCTCTGTCTAACTGTGATGAAAACAAGCTCAAGACTTCCCTCTAGAGAACGAACTCGCTGTGCAGGTCCATGTTCTCTTTCCCAGGAAAGTGGGAACACGTGCTGGAGCCCTGTTTGCTGCCTTGGCCATTCTCGTGACCTTTCCACAGAGCTGCGCCTTTTCCCACCCGTGTGGATCGTGCCCCTTTCTGTTCTCAGGAAGACGGAAGCCGTACCTGCCCAAAATGGCAGTGCAGTCATCTATTTGATGGTGTGTTTCTTCAAGACTCCCTCAGCTGGTGAAGCATTTTGTTTCCTGACTAGGACTGGATCATCTGCAGAGGATGGAGGGAATGTGGCTATATTAATGTTGATTTTTAATTCAGGCAACAGGGTGAAGAGCCTGGAAAATTCTTTCCTGAACATGGATTGCACTTATCAGTCTCAGATTTTAACACCAAACACTGAGCAAGGCCAGCATGCTATGACATCCTGTTTGGGGCTTGGTTTCATTTGACTCTTACCAAACATAAAAGATCTTGCTTACTTCTTAGCTTAAGTGTTGAGGATCATGAGAGAGAGAAAGAGCGAGCCTGTGTTCTAAACCTTCTGAGTACTTACCAGAGTTTAATTTTTTTTTTTTTTAAAGTAAACCTGCACTAAAATCCCCTGAGGGGTAAATGTAGCCCTCAGAACTCAGCCGAAGGCAGAATCTAAATCACTATTTTCAAGATCATGTACGTATAAAGAGGAAAATAAGGGTGTGTGGTCACTTATGATTATAATTTTTTTCAAAGACTGTGTCACAAAGCTGTCTATATTAGACATTTGGGGAAGACCAGGGAATTTAAAGCACCAAACCATTCATCTCTCGCTGTGCTGATGTCACCTTGTGATTTGTTGTTCCTTGTTAACCTTCTGCATCTGCACTGAGGAAAGTGAATTCTGTTTCTGCCT